CTACTACTACACTACTACAACATACAAAAAAAAAAAAAAACATCTACAATCAACAATTACTTCAAATAAAATGAACAAAAATATTCATGCAAAATAAAAAATTAATTTGAATAAAATGAACTTAATGAATTCTACTAGATAGAGCATGCAAGATAGAGAACTATTTTAACTACGGGGTCATCTTTGTCTTCTCCAACGTCGATCTGAAACAGATACGGTGGTAACAGATTAATAAGGAGCAATTAAAATTAATTATATCAAGTATTCTCACCTTAATTAACTGTAGACCGTAATGTTCCAAAGTTTGCAGGTGTGAAAAGCAAATCAAATCCAAGAGGAATGCCAATGCAGAAAATTTGTTATTTCAGTAGAATTCGCATAAATCTTCAGTTGCTCTCACTCATCCCTTGAAAATTAACTGCATAACGTTGCAAGATGAAGACAAAAACAGCAAAGGCAGCACCATTGTAGATATTATTTCAGTACCATCACAAACTGAACTTTAATTCTCTCTCATTTGTCAGATGATCTGTAGAGATGAGCAAAAAGAAATATTAATTATACTAACAACTAAAGAAGGAATGTTTAAATTAAGTAAAATATGTAATATAATTAAAAACATGCACAAAAATGAAAGCAAAACAGCTTATTATAAAATGGCGACGAGATGTCAATTTTATTCATGTCATAGATTAATGTTAAAGGTTATAGAAATAACCGTAGATGTACGATGTCAATTTATACAGTGGACTATAGTTAGTTAAAAGAGAACCCCATAGATGCACGATAACATCGATTTATTCAGTAAACAATAGATGGCTGTTGGAAGTAAAACCATAGATGCCACAGATCGCAAATTACTATGAAAACTAAGCAACTTCAATATAATAGAAAAACAATTGATTATCTGGAGGATTACTCTACGGTACTCGAGATTTATTCCTAAGCGTTGATAAAGAGAAGTGTCTCTTAACAATAACCACACATCGCATTGCAACTTTATATGCATCAACGTAAATCGGACTGCATGTATTTTCTAAAAATCGCACCTTTCACAGCCAAGGGGCGGGAACATTAAAGGGGCTCCAATTCTCCAGGTTTTCAATCCTTTTTTACTTTTTGTCTCCTTCTTCATTTAATATGTTTAAATGGCGTCCTGTTGAAATAATTTAATATGAGCTTCATTTTAAATATCACGTTTTCAAATATTAAGAACCATAACTAACACTAATCAAATAGTAGACTATCAAAATCAATACATAACCATTACAATTCAGAAGTGTAAAAATTTATAGTGGTNGTAAATCGGACTGCATGTATTTTCTAAAAATCGCACCTTTCACAGCCAAGGGGCGGGAACATTAAAGGGGCTCCAATTCTCCATGTTTTGAATCCTTTTTTACTTTTTGTCTCCTTCTTCATTTAATATGTTTAAATGGCATCCTGTTGAAATAATTTAATATGAGCTTCATTTTAAATATTACGTTTTCAAATATTAAGAAACATAACTAATACTAATCAAATAGTAGACTATGAAAATCAATACATAACCATTACAATTCAGAAGTGTAAAAATTTATAGTGGTAATTATTGCCAAACAAATGGAATACAAGACTTGAAAAATCATGAATCATTTCGTAACTGCAACTTCATAAAATTATGAGATTTCTGACCCTTACTCTTTCTACAAACGACCCACTTCCATAACCACGCGAAACAAGCATGATTGGAGACTATGCTTCTTCACGTTTCCCCTTTGATTTAACTTCTCCATGTACATTTATTATGTTTTAATATAAACCTGTTAAAACAATTTAATATAATTAGTTGTATGTTCACTAGATTTGTTATTTTATTATTAATGATAATTACCATCGTTAGCACCCTGTGTCCTATGAATTTTTTGACCAGCTCATTACAAGCATTCTTGGAAATAAAAACATGTCTGGTTGCTACATGTAGTTTGTCCATTGAATCCAAGGATATCATCTCAAAGCAAACCTATATACAGAAAAAAACATAAGTCGTTAAAACCCAATCTATAGAATAACAAGGCAAAAGTGATAATTTTTTTTAACAGAAATTTAGATTTTTAAAAGCAGAATAATGGTTTTCAGGTTTATTTTACATATTTTGACTATAAAACGAAGGCAAATTTTCGCGGCGTGGTCACATCCATATGAAAAATCTACAATCATCCTCTAAATCTGTTTTCAAAATTCAAAGATTCTAACAAAACCCTAATTATTCAGCCTCAAATAAACTAAGAATATATTACAATTAACATTAGATGAGTGAACAGGCAAAAAAAGACCTATGCTGGAGCACGAGGCCAACACGCTCATTCCCATAAAAAAAATTGAAGCAACGCTAATTGAAACCAATCAAACGCTAAATTGAAATTTGAATAAGTATTAGGGCTAAATACCTTTAGGTGTCGTTTCTATTTGTGAATAGCAAAAATGGTGACATGTCCTCCTCTCCGAAACCAAAGACAAAATGATGATCGTAGATAATGAAGACGAAACGAGCCGGAAGCCCATAGATGAAAACTTCTTCTATACCTATAATTCATCGATAATTGATTTCATAGGTGCGTTCATTTATACTAACTCAGTTTAATTCGTTAATTAATAGAAACTGATACACCATTACAGAAAATTATCCCAATAAAACTGCAAAATTTAGTGTTTTTTAACTACTTGTATCAATTTCTAAGAATTAATACAGTCTTTCGAAGTAAATCAATTAAAAATAATATTAATGTGGACACTTCGTTAACATATGAATGGCGTATTCATGGGTGTATTTAAATCACATAATAAACACATAATAATAAGTTTTGCATTAAGCAAAGCATCTTGCGTAACGGATTAAGTTAATATTCAGGGTAGGCCAGTACATGAGTTAGAACTATTTTCAAAGCAGTTTTTCTAAGAAATAGTACTTCCGAATTGCTTTTAAGTAGATTAATAGATTAATTGAATAAATGCAAATATGTAGAATAAAATAATAAACATAAATTTAAACAGCTTTCATTAATAAAAAAAATATATATTAACGACAATATTGTATCAATTCATGTAATAACAACAAATGTACGCATTTCTACAAAATTTCACTGTTTCATTNACACCACCACACAATAGCGAATGGCAGCCTGACAGGTACCATAGATAAGTACAACCAGAGGTATTTAGCACATAACCTCTAATATTATCAACGATGTTACTTAATTATTATTTATAATCAAAAGTTAACTTATTTTTGATAAAAATGAATGCAGTTTTCAATTTATCAATTTTTTCACAATAGTAAATAATTATAATGGAATGCTCTATATATCGATTTGAGCAAGGATATAATTTGGAGTTGGTGATATAGTAGTAGTGTAACTAACATAAATATTTGCATAGTAAAAAGTTTAGGTGAAAAGCGTTGAAATATTTATACAATTTTGTATGCCAGAATGATACCGAAAACTTGTATAGTGTTCACCTATGCTTCAAAACATGTTGTGAAGAATTGGAAACGTTGCTGTAAGTTAAGTTTGTAAGTTATAATAATCATGCCAAGAATGTCATTTTGTTTGCAGGTTCTTGTTGTGTCTCCCTTAATAACTTAAAAAAGATTTATGTAGATAAGTGCAGTCCAGAATTATACAAAACACCACGAATTAGCTTCTACAGGTTTTTCAAATATAATTCCAGGTTTTGTAGTAGTGTTGAGAATGTTGACAAAGGTGATTCAAAGGAAAATTCCAAGGAGAACAAAGATAAAGTAACTGAATGTGACAAAATAGGGAGAATAAAAACTTTAAGTTTAAATGTTAATGAAGAGGACAAAAGCCAAAAGTGTCAATCAAAAGGCATAGCACCGAAAATTTTAGAAGTTATAGCACCTAAGTTGGCATCTACTAAGAAAGTTTTTGAAGATACCGGTATTACTAAAAAGGGTGATAAAGAAGTTATAATAGAAAAGAAATTGGAAAACTCTGGGAATCAAGATGTTTCAAAGAAATCAGAAGGTAGTGTAAATTTTAATATTTTAAACTGTATACATATTTAATCCAATAATGAAATGAAATTTTTCAGGGAAACCTGCATACAAGAGAAGAAAACCAGTAGACCTAGAAGCATCTTCTTTGGATAGAAATTTTATGACTCCAATAAGAGCAATGAACGATTTTTTATTGAAGCCCTCAGATTTAGAATCACTACCTAAGACTAAAAGACGATCCCCTTATGAAGATGAACCATCATTTACAGTTTATTGGAGAAAAGATGTGGAAGCTAAGGCTTTGGAAGTTTGGGGATCAAAGGAAAACCTTCAGAAACAGATGCTGCTACGTGATATCAAACGGAAACAACATCAGCAAAGTAACTATAAACATCGTTGTTAGGTATATAAATTTATGGCTAGACATAATAATGTAATATTTATAGATATATTCACTGTTAAGCAGAGATTAAAAGATTATAGAAAGGAATTACAAGGAACTTTTAGTGCAACAGAAGACTCAAAGGATTATGGATTGATGGGCAGATCAGGAAAAGTTGTTTTGACTGCAGTTGCCATGTATTAAAATACTATATCCTTTCTATTTAAATGAGTCGCAATTTATTGTTTTAGAAATGCCAGTAATTGTCTGTTTAAGTTTATTGCTTGGTTGTATACGGGGTCCCATAGTATGTTTTCAGAATGTGTCCATTCTTTGGCTGACACTATAAATCAAATAATTCTTGTTTATGGAATTCAAAAGTCCGTACAAGTAAGACTATATCAATAAGAAATTAAAAATATTCCTCTCTTCAATTTAGTCTTGGTTTTAGACGGCAGATTCTGAGCATCCTTATGGTTACTCGAAAATGAAATACATTTCGTCTTTGATATCGGGGGTTGGCATATTTTGCGTCGGTGCTGGTCTTTCCATGTATCACGGTGTCATGGGAATCATTACTCCAGAACCGATAGAAGATTTTTTCTGGGCAAGTCTCGTTTAACATTCATCCCATGCTTGCATAGAAGGGTTTACAGGTCTTAACGATTATGAACCCGCCCTGTATAGACCTCAATACTAATCGTATTAATGGGTTTCCCAGTAAATTATTTTTTTAAAGTTTTGTTTATTTTATGTCTAAATTATTGGTTAAGCAAAGTATTACGCGAATGTTTATGCAGCAAGTCACACTGCACCATTCAATATTTTAAATTTTTCTGTTTCCTTGAAATCTATATGATTTCAAAAATGTAAGGATGTATATGCGCCTGATTAATAGGTTTTTTCTTTTTAAATTTTAGGCATATTTTATACTTGCTGGTTCTTTGGTATCTGAAGGGGCAACCTTACTTGTGGCCTTTAATTCACTTAGGAAAGGAGCAAAAGAAAAAAATATGTCGCTAAACGAATACAGTATGTAGTCATTCGTTAATATTTTTTTAAGTAAATAAAAAAAACACGTTTTAAAACTTGTTTTTTCTAGTACTGACAAGTCAAGATCCCAGCGTAAACGTGGTTTTGATGGAAGACACTGCTGCAGTTGCTGGGGTAGCAATAGCAGCGGCTTGTATGGGATGGTCTACGTTTTCACATAATCCTCTTGCTGATGCCTTTGGGTCTTTATTAATCGGAGGCCTTTTGGCCAGTGTCGCTTCTTTTATCATTTATTCCAATGTCAATGCTTTGGTTGGAAGGTAGTTAAAAGTAGTCATTTTACGAAGAGTCACTTATTTGTAATTTAATACGTTTTAGGTCCATAAATCAGGAGAGCTTGGATAAAATTAATGCAGAATTGGAAGCAGATGTTATGGTTAGAGCGATTTATGATGTTAAGGGAATAGATATGGGGAATTCTCTGGTACGTTACAAGGCTGAAGTTGATTTTGATGGGAGAGAACTAACAAGGGCTTATTTAGATAAGCAAGATTTAAATATAATCCTTGATGTGAGTGATTAATTCTCAATTAATAAAGTTTGCTATTATTGTTTTTGTAATTTAAGGAGATCAATAAAATTGAAAATATTGATCAAGTAGAGCAGTTTTTACTGAAACATGGAGAAAACATTGTGGATATGCTTGGGGCGGAAATTGACCGAATAGAAAGAAAATTAAGGGTAATGTGTGAATATTGTGTTATGTTTTTAATTAGTTATTATTTTTTACAGAAAAAACATCCTGAAATTCGGCACGTTGACTTGGAACTGCTTTAGAATACGTGTTAACGTACTTAAAAACGATTATAAATATTTCTAATATCAAATCTGCTTTGAATTGTATTTGAAAAAAAAATAGTACTAACAAGTTTAAATGTTGTTTATTAATGTAAACACCATAATTCCGAATATTCCTTTTAAAAGCAGTATTTTGTACAGAAGTTTTCTTTGTTAATTATATTATTATTTTATTTTGCTTACAGAATTTTATTTATTTGAACAATAAAATGTGGTTAATTTATGTTTGTTTTTTTTGTATTTTTTTTTTTTAATTTTCTGCGTTATACAGAGTATCCTATCGAAAAATGACGAAGAACCTTTCGACTTGAAATTTTATTTTTTAACACGTGATGCAGTGTTTATTTCATTTAGTTATCAATAACAACCAAAAATTAATTCAGTTTCGAACACACTGTACATTATATTTTTTTATTTAGAAAATGACAAGTTGACAAGTGTCATCAAATGCAGGTTATGTGTAACATTCCAGCAGTAGACAATTATTTATTTAATAAAATGTAATTATTGTTACATATTCGCGTTATATTTTGCATTTATATATGGCTTTCTGTTTAAAAAATAATGGAGATGACTATCAACTTGAGTTTTTCATAGAAGAATAAAATGTCACGATTAGCAGACTATTTTGTTGTTGTTGGGTATGATCATGAGAAAGAAAGTAAGTTATTCACTTTAAACTTAATTAAATTGCTATTCAATGAATATTAAATCGTTTAGGAAGTGGAGTTAGTAATGGTATGGTACTACAAAGATTTCCTGAAAAAGACTGGCCAGACACACCATTTACGGATGGTATTGAATGGGTATGTTCAAAATTAGACATTTTATCATCTCTGTATTACCAATTAAACTTTCTAGTTTTGTCAGCCACAGGGATGGATTCTTTCTAGTGAAAAACAACAGCCTCAGTTTTTTGTATCAGTGTTAACAGATATCTATGCCAATAGACATTACTGTGCATGTTTATGTTTCAATGAAGCAGTATCTGTTTCTCCTAGTAAACCTGTAGATGAGGTATGTGACTGTGTATGTATACTTTATAACTTAACAAAGAGTGTTTGTAGGAAGAAGATCCTATTGAAGGTGATGCTCCCATTGTGAGAACATTGCCTTCAATTACACACCAAAGTATTATGTATGCACCAAAATGTTTAGTTTTAGTTTCAAGACTGGATTACATAGAAACGTTTAGGGTAAGCAAAATATAAAAGTTTATAAATTATTTTTATATTTACTAATTTTGGTATTGTCTTGTTAGAATTGTTTAGGCATAATATACACAGTTTACATAGAAAATATTCCGGTTCCATTGGAAACATTGATAGGAAACATTATTGGTTGTATACAAGTACCGCCACCCGGCGGTCCCCAGGTACGTTTTAGCATTGGAGCTGGCGATCGGCAAGCCTTACAACCCCCAATAAGTCCTTCTCTACCTGTTACACATACCTCAGTTAATTTGTTGTTTCATCAATTAGGTAAGAATTTTTATGGTCCCATTTAATATTAAAATAATGGTAATTTCCTTATATGTTTATTAGGGATCAGAAATGTGTTGGTATTGTTTTGTGCCATAATGACTGAGCATAAAATTTTATTTCATTCAAAGAGTTATAATCGCCTAACTGAAGCATGTAGAGCATTAACATCGTTGATGTACCCATTTCGGTACAATCATGTTTATATTCCTCTTCTACCAGCTGCTCTTGTTGAGGTCTTGTCTACTCCAACACCTTTTGTAATAGGTGTACATTCATCACTTAGATCTGAAGTGTCCGACTTGGTATGGGTCCCAAATAATTATTTAAGTGATTTCTAATATTTATTTAATATCTTAGATGGACGTGATAGTAGCAGATTTGGACGGAGGGTCGATAAATGTACCAGACGGTGTGTCATTACCTCTTCTTCCCGAGCCTTTGTTAAGTAACACTCAAGAAGCCCTAAGTTTAATATTGCAACCAGAACTTAATACAGCAGATCATGCTTTTCCACCTTTAGCAATAAGAGCCCCACAGGCGGTGATGTTGGACAAAGAGATCAGGGCGGTGTTTATGCGCATGTTTGCTCAGTTTTTGCAGGGTTACCGTAGCTGTCTTACCATTATCAGGATACACCCGAAACCGGTCATAACATTTCACAAAGCCGCGTTTCTAGAGGAGAGGAATCTTATAAATTGTGACTTTTCCACGAGAATCTTGGATTGTATGTTTTTTACAAGTTTTGTGGCGGATCGGGGGCCCCCGTGGAGACCGTGTGACGTTTGGGACGAACTTTATAGTAACTTTAACGATCTGCTCAAAATCGAAACTCAAGATCCCAACATGTTGCTTGTTCACATTCAAGAATTAGCTCAGCAGTTGTATACGAATGAAAATCCGAATCCTCAGTCTTATTCTCAAAAAATATTAGCGCCTCCCGAAGGCGCTTTTGCTCGTATACACCAGCCCCCTTTTCCCATTATCAATTCTAGTCAGGTACAGGTCATTATCGACGAGGGATTGACGAAAAATAATTTAAAAACTAGGTAAGAAGGTGGCGTTCATTTAAAAAATTTGGTAAATGATAATTTCTCTAATTTTTGCTTTCATAGTGGAGACTTCAGTTGGTAAATATGCGTGAATGGGATAAATAAAGTTAAATAAATTTATTTTTACTAAAGCAATTTCATTTTTAGGTTGTCTTCTTTGAGGCCTATACAGCCTCGTATAGTGTCAATGGGACCACACATATCAACGCTGAATGAAAATAAAGATATAGTTAGTAATTCTGCAAGGCGATTAGAGGTTTGATTCGTCGATTTTTTCCATACTCTTATACATGTTATTTTTCTTCTAGGTGCTGAGAAATTGTATCAATTGTATATTTGAAAACAAGATTTCAGACGCTCGGAAAACATTTCCAGCGGTTCTTAGGGCTCTAAAGTCGAAGCAAGCTCGACTTGCCTTGTGCAATGAACTTGCCCAGCATGTAATCGGAAACAAAGCCATGTTAGAACACCAACAGTTTGATTTGGTGGCACGGTTAATGAATAGGGCTCTACAAGATGGCTCCTCTATTTATGAGCATGGAGTTGCTGCTGCTCTCTTGCCGCTGGCTTCCGCTTTCTGTCGAAAATTATGTACTGGTGTAATGCAGTTTGCTTATACATGCATTCAGGTAATTAATCTTCTTCATTGGTAAGGGACAATATATATCAAAGGTAAAACTCAAATGCCCATAAGCGTTCTATATTCTTTCTTTGCATTTGATCTTATATATAAATGTTTTTTTTTGTGCTGGGTCCTTTTGTGGAGATTTCGACTATTTTCTTCTTGCAGGAACACAGCATATGGCAAAATCAGCAGTTTTGGGAAGCAGCATTTTATTTAGACGTTCAAAAAGACATAAAAGCTCTCTACGTGCCCCGTATTGATAATTCTTCGTCCAGATTAAGCCACGATCATTTGATGAGTCCCATGATATCACCACGCGATAATAGGGAATTAAGTTGGAGTAACAGGCGTTCCATGTTGAATCGAGCACAAGAACCGAGTGCTTTGGAAATCGCAGCCGAGCAGATGAGAATATGGAATACAATAAACTTAGAAAAGCAGAAAGAACTGATGGCAAGTGAAGAAAGCACTGTGTACAGTCAGGCAATACATTATGCCAACAGGATGGTCTCTTTGTTGATTCCATTGGACTTTAACAGTCGCGTTCACAGGCAGGATCAGATGATTGACGATGAAAGAGCAAGTACAAGTATTACAAATAGGTAATTAATTTCGAATTTGTAAATTAAATTATTAATAAGTAATATGCAATTTGAAATTTCAGTGTAGCTGAAAGCGATAGTGCTGACGCCGAATCGGGTTTTGAAGAACAAGAACAGGGAGAGATGAGTTTGCAAGTAGTGAGAACGGTAACTCGATTTGTTGATAAAGTTTGTAATGAAGGGGGTGTGAACCGGGATCTCATAAGGAACCTGCATCAGATGATCCCAGGAGTTATACAGATACACATCGAAACACTGGAAGCAGTTCATCGTGAATCTAAACGTTTACCACCAATACAAAAGCCTAAGATTTTGGTTCCTAACGTTTTACCTGGGGAAGAGACCTTTTTGGAAGGTATTAGAGTGTATCTTTTACCCGACGGTCGAGAAGAAAGTACTTCTGGGATCCTTGGTGGTCCTCCGCTTGTGCCAGCAGAAGGAGCTGTTTTCGTTACAAATTACAGAATTATTTTCAAAGGACTTCCATGCGACTCCTTTGGTAAAGATCATTTTTAAAAAACTTATTTATGCCGGATTATTATCCTTTTCCTTTTTTTTAGCTTGCGAGCAGGCGATTGTTCGCTCGTTTCCCATAATGTCCCTAACAAAAGAAAAGCGCATTGCAGTTCAATATTTGGCTCATTTAGATCAATGGCTGCAGGAAGGCATACAACTGAGATCAAGCACCTTTCAGCTCCTTAAGTTGGCATTCGACGAAGAAGTTACTCCTGAAATAATAGATACATTGAGGAAGGTTATACATAAAGTGAGATGGCCCCCTGACGTTTTTCTCAACTTCGCATTCACTGGACAGGTTGTTGTTTCCCAAACACCACACCACAAAGGAAAAGAAAAAAATGCCACCCTGAGGTTAGCAAATGTTGAAAACGAAGACTGCCGTTATTGAATAAAATTATATTTGTTGTAGGGGTTTTGCGAAAAAAACACTTCTAAAAACAGCTAGGAAAGCAGGATTCAAACAAAAGGACAAACGTCAGAAATATGTGCTACCGAATTTGAACGCAAACAGTAGTAATAAATATTTGACGTCACCGGGACGTATGAGTTTGCCGCCCCCTGACGATTTTAGTCATGATGATGATCTTTCATTAGACGATTTCGAGGCTACAGGACCAACACCATCTTCTATTCTTAATGTTCCTGCCGCACAAACGGATGCCAAAACACTCGAGCGTCTGGTAGAACGAAGTTATGTCAAAGATTGGCAAAGACTGGGCTTATGTAGTCCTACAGGATCGCCGAATTCTAAACAAAATAGAACTGAACAGTTCAGGTTAACTACCGTTAACACTCTTTATATGATGTGTAGGAGGTAATGACATCTAACTTCGTATATTATTAGTATTTATACTTTTGTATATTATATGGTTATATTTTTTGTAGTTATCCTGCTTTACTTGTCGTTCCTGCCACAATTACTGACGAAAGTATAAGGAGATTCTGTAGATGTTATAGACAGGGTAGGATCCCTTGTATAACGTGGCGTCACCCTAGAACGAAGGCGTTGCTGCTTAGAGGGGCTGGACATCACGGTAAAAGTGTAATGGGAATGCTAAAGAGTCACCCCACCCCCGTTTCTTCCACTGAAACTACATCTTCCCTGGAACAAGTAAATTTTAATTTTACATCTGTACTTCGCTGTTAGCTCTGTAATCATTTTATATTTCAGGAACGATATTTATCAGCCTTGGTAGCAGCTACACCTATTTTCTCTTTAAGACAAAGTTCAGCATGGGGCATGTCTGATAGTACTTTGAGTATTGATTCGCTTCTTTTGGCAGCCGAAGATCCCTTAATAACAGCCACTCTAACTCCTGAAGTTGCTAGAAAGTCTAATGCTTTCAACAAAGCCATCGGAACATTGGGGTTAGTTAGTTTAATCTATTTAGTAATTCCAGAATAAGTCTGCAAGGTCTTTTTGTAGTGTATTTCCCCGTTCTAGTGGCGGTAAAGGTCCCAAAAACTTTGGCAGATGGGGTTCTCTTAAAGACAGGCGCCAGAGTTCGCAAGCTTCGCTCAGCAACATGAATCAAAGTAGAGGAAATATAAGACATTCAACCGACTGTGACAGTGGTGCTGAAGGAGTCCACACGTTCCAACGGGCTGCTTTGTATATTTTAGGCGAAAAGGCTCAAATGAAAGGTGTGAAAATAGAATCTTCTCCAAAAACAGACTTTATACCGGTGGAATATTTTGACGTTCGACACACTAAAGCAGCATTTAAAAAGCTTATGCGTGCTTGTGTACCCAGTGCCCAAAGCCCCGAACCGGACCAAACGTTTTTCAAGTATTTATATACAAAATAAATTTCTTCATATTCATATTATCAATGTGTTTGTTTGTAGACTTGTGGAAAATTCTGAGTGGCTACAACAGATTCAGAACATAATGCAACTGTCAGGAGCTGTTGTTGATCTCTTGGATTTACAAGGTTCTAGTGTTGCTATTTGTCTTGAGGATGGATGGGATATTACTGCTCAAATTTCATCTGTAGCACAATTGTGCCTTGATCCTTATTACAGGACTATTGAAGGGTTTCGTGTTCTAGTAGAAAAGGAATGGATAGGTTTTGGACATCGTTTCAGTCACAGAAGTACCTTCAGTCCTAGCTCACAAGCCAGCGGATTTGCTCCAACTTTTTTGCAATTTTTGGATGTCGTACATCAAGTTTGTACAAATATTTTTTAATTTCTTTTCTTATTGCTGATAATGTATTTTTTCAGATTCAAAAACAGTTTCCTATGGCTTTCGAATTCAACGACTATTACCTCCGTTTTTTGGCATACCATCTAGTTTCTTGTCGTTTTCGAACGTTCCTTTTTGATTGTGAACTGGAAAGGGTAGAAAGAGGAGTAGCGGCTATTGAAGACAAGAGGGGCTCTCTAACATCACATCACAAGAGCGTTGACACAGGTTCAGATGACGAAACTGTTTATCCTGGTGGTAGAATGGTTGGAACTCATTCCGGAGGCACAAATTTAGGACAAAGTGTTTTTGACTATATTGAAAAACAGAATGCGAGAAGCCCCCTCTTCTTTAATTTCATGTACACTCCCGACTTTGAACATCCTGTAAGTCGTTAGAATTACTTTGGTGTAAAAAAACATTCTAATTACTTTTTAATTCAGGTTTTAAGACCGCAGTCCCATTTACCCATACTTGAAGTGTGGGACTATTATTTGGTCGAAGAACTTAAACACGGTCCCACTTATGATTTAGAAATCTTCCAAATGGATCTTCAACAGGAAGAAGAAGCCGATGTTACCATAGGAATGAGCATGAAAACTTGCAGAAAAACAGTTACTTTAGGGTAATTCATCAAGAAAGTCTACCAAATTATCAATTATGTATTATAAATATTTGTCTAGGTACGACGCTGTGAATAAAAGTGTACCGGATGCATTTAGCCATTTATTAGAGGAGATTCACCGACTTGAAACAGAATTAGGACATCTTCCACAGAAGTGGAAAGTACTTTGGGACAAATTGGAAGTTCCTTCTACGGATTCTTTAACGGTAGTAGACTATATATTTATCCTTTGTAGTTTTTCCTACATAATTATATTTTTAGCGACATGCTTCGTTTAGTACCGCACTAGTAAGATCGCACGGACGTCTCTTGCACAAACGTTCTACTCTCGAAATATTAATGCGAGGAAAAATGGTTGGAGCTGCTGAATCATCCCTCGTCTATTCACACCCCCATCGTTTTGATCGATACAATTACACAACACCTACTTATTGTGATCTCTGTTCAAACGTTCTCTGGGGACCCGTCAAGGTACTATCAAAATTAATATTTATAATTTAATTCTATTTAGTGCAATAAATAACTAAATTTCAGACTGGAATGCGTTGCATGGATTGCGGGTATAGTTGTCATGAAAAATGTATGGAGGGAGTGCCGAAAAATTGCACGAAATACAAGGTAGTAGCAGATGGCAATGTTAATCAAACATTGACGAGAAGTGGAGGGGATAATGGGTCAGTTAGTTCAGGTAATTTTGATTGCCTTTTGAATATGCTTTTGTTTTTAAAAGTAATTTTTGTTTTTATTACTTTTTTATTGTACAGGTAGCGCCAGACAAACGTCAAATCAGCAATATTACGAACAATTTTCATCGAACGTTGCTGAGAACAAAACACACGAGGGTTACCTATATAAGAGAGGTGCTCTATTGAAGGGGTGGAAGCAAAGGTGGTTTGTTTTGGACTCAATAAAGCACCAACTGAGATATTATGATGCAATGGAAGACTCGCACTGTAAAGGTTTCATAGGTAGGTAACTAACCTATTGGTTACGTTTAAAACCATTTAATTATTATCTTTTTATAAAGATCTGGCTGAGGTAATGTCTGTTACTCAAGCTCTTCCAACACCGGGGCCTCCAAAAAAAACCGATGACAAGTCATTTTTTGATGTAAGTTTTTTTTATTGTTCTCTTTTTACATGTTGAAACTGTAAGATAATTATTCTCTATTTTACTTATCTCAGAGTCCCGTAAATTAATCTTAAAATTTTCTGTATACGCGTATTTTACCCTATGAGGGCATCTTCAGGACTAAGAAAATTGTATACTGACAACTTACGTTATCGTTACTATCTACACTTAAGGATCATTTTGATCGTGGTGGGGTTGGGGAAGGGTTCTGTTACTGAGATCAATCTGATTATTTGGTGGTAGTTTGAAATATAATAACCCTCTTACAGTCGTATCTACCCTTTGTATCACAAATAACTACAATATAAAAATAGAGGTAAAATATAAAAAAAAACAGAATTAGATAAAGAACTTTCAAACGATCACGTTGAATTAAAGAAGTTGTGGAAAATTCAAAAGATTTTTTTTTTTAAATTTTGATTTAAATGTTTTCAAAAAGTTTAATAAATTTAATTTTTTTTTTGGTAGCTCCGTACAAGCCGCAGAACTTATAATTTCTGCGCCGATAACGCGTTAGCGGCACAGGAATGGATAGAAAAACTGCAAGCCTGTTTGCAATAATTGCGTTATACAAAAGACATAAAAAATAGGTAATATTATTAATAAATGTTATACATAAATATATAAATATAAACGA